CACACACACACACACTCACCTGCTCCTCATTCCCTCATTAGTTCCTCCTTGTATTTATACAGCCAGTTAGTTCCATTCACTCTCTGCCAGATTGTCTAGTGTGTTCCTGCCTAGCTATCCAGCATTATATTCCTGAATTCTTGCCTGCCCGTTCCTGACCTGATATCCCCCGTTTTGGATTTTGAATTCTCTTTTTGCCTGCCCCTTCGGATTTTATTGTTGTTCAGACTGATATCCTGTTTGTGACCATTCTGCCTGTCTTTGTGACCTCTGAGAAATAAAACATCTTTTCTTTAGACTTGAGTTTTTCTGTTGCCATGCTTTTGGGTTCAGTTCTGCTTCTATCAATCATTAATATGTGCTCAGAAATGTTCTTATTCTCTGCACAAAATGACACGTGGTGTGCATAACAGAGAAGTTGAAATTATAAGAGATGGCCCTAAAAGGTAAATAACATAAGAGAGAGCACTAGTGAACAAGAAAGTTGTGATTGGTGTCTTCCTACATAATGAGAGGGCCTATGATATACTGTGGAAAGTGGGATTGGTGATTAAGCTGCATGATGCTGGGATTTAGGGAAGGATGTGTAATAGAAATTTTGTAATTTGTGTATGTGATGCAGCATGAGCAGATGTGTGTGGAAGATTGACAAGGTTGTTTAATTAAAAGTGCAACTTTAGGTTTACAATTATTGCTCGGAGGCCTAAACTTTATTGTCTCTTTGAAGCTTTAACTTTATGGTTTCATTGTATATGGGTGGGATCTCACACCAGGGGTCTCATTTCGTATTTGAAAAAAATAGAGTTTAAATTGATAAATAGGAGTCGGGTCACAACTGCTGAGACAACCTATAAGAGAAAATGGGTTAAAAGATTAGTAAAGAAGAGAAAGGAAACTGCTAATCCACCTCAGCTTTCATCTCCTAATGTTATAGTATATGGTTACAAATTATGGCAAACATAGCATTGACCAGTTGTGTGGATGGAAGACTGGTTTTCCGAGCGCGGGAAGTTTGAGTTTAAATCAGTTGCAGTTAACCCTTGAAGTAGAGAGGACAAACAAAAAGGAAAAAGAAATGTAGGGATATTTGTACTGGAGCGTGTGAATTTTGGTTAACTGAAGTGAATATCAGGGACAGTTTACAAAAGGTAGGGATTGAACTAATCTCCAAGTCTCAGTGTGTCCGACTAGACCCTGATCTGGACTCAGCTCCACCGAGAGGACAACCACAGCCAGCAGCGGTGCAGTGTGATGACCAGCAGGACACTCAGCTGCTACAGGTGCAGAGGGGGCATCAGCCTTATCGTGTTTAATATAAATGTAAGTGATATGTTTGATTAAGTTGGAGATAGTTTTGGTAGATCCCTGTTTGCAGATGTTGGAGCCAAATGGAAGAGAGGTCGCAATGTTGGATATTTGATGAAACAGATGCAGTGTGCTATGGATGAGGTGCAAACTTAATAAAGTCAGGAGCTCAAGTTGTACAGAGAACCCCTTGAAAGAGTCAAGGTCTTTAAGTTATTAGGTGTATGGTTGGATTTAAACATAGAGCACAAGTAGGGAAAATGGTTTGTAAGTGTGAAGGTTATAAATATTATGAGGTGCTTGACGGTGCTCCTGGGGGACAGATAGTAATTTATTGCTGATGATCTATATGGCTATTTTAGATTATGGGTGCTGTTGTTCAGGCTAGGGGCTTGAGGCTGTGTATCGGAGCATTCCAGATAACGCCGCTCTCTGCATGCAAAATTATTGCTATTATTAAGTTAAAAGAATTTGGAACAGCTCCTCCACCAACCTCTCTGCTCACAGAATGCTGGGAATGTATTTGGGTAGTATGAGGGTAGTAGTTATGATTAATAGGGGTAGTTATATCAGTTCCATTAGAAAATACATAGAGAAATTTCGATTTTGTGGAATTAGAGAAGGGCACTCTGTATGCTGGCCACTTGTCCCTCCATGGCTGTGGGCTGATGCTGATGTGGATCTGTCGATTAAAGTATTATTGTAGAAAGGTTATATGGGAAATCTGGCAGCAAATGTAGAGCACATGGAGTTTTAGAGTATAGGACAAGATGGTGAATATCCCTTGTACGTTTGAGGGTCTTCTGCACAATTTAAGTTACCAACTACCATTAGATGTTAGCTGGTGTTATCGGCCACCAGCAGATGTTAGGGACATAACTTCAGTCGTGTACCTTGGCATCATCATGTGTTTTGGCTCATGTAATTAACAAACTTGAGGGTACGCAGAGGCTAAAGGCAAATCTGACTGGCTACTGGCTTGTATGGTACTACTATGCCAGCCATGTAGCCTGCTCTAATGATCAGACATCATTACCTCTATGCCTTTTTAAACTTAACACTGTCCCATTTTAGAACATTGGTAAAAATGGAGAATATCCCTTGTATTTTCTACCACACTAATTTATTCACCAGTTGATGTTATCAGATGTTAGGGACATGTCTTCAGTTGTGTACCTTCATGTTATCAGGTGTTTCAGCCTTTTAATCACAAGACACCCTTTTCTAAGGCAGGCCCACCACAGGTTGATCAGACCTGGCTGCATTTCTCTAGCATCTTGGGGCCCAGTTGGGATCTTTGCTCCTGATCCAGAGCCATTGGCTGCAGCATTCTCCAGTGTGTGATGTTTCTTTTATTGTCTGGCACAAGCTTGTCCTTGGATCTTCAGATCTTTGAGCAACTTGATGGTGGATGTTGCAAGGAAACCTCTGCAACCCACCTCCACAGGGATACTTTCCAGCCTCGTTGCTCTGCCTCAAATGCCATGTCTGCATACCTTTTCCAATCATTCACTTCATCAACAGCAACCTCCCAGGGTACTATCAATTCTACAAAGTGTGTTGGACTAGAGTATCAGGTCTGGTCTTAAGGTGGGAGTGACAATATGTGGTAGGACTGCTCCCAGGTGGCAAAAAGGTAGCCCCGCTCCTGTAGGGTACTACATGTGAACCTGCTTAAGGAGTGGGTGGAGAGACATGATGCCAAAGTAGAGGTGTTGCTGATTATGAGCTTACCAAATTTGAAGAATTTGTCTTGAGGCGTTCTTGAGATATTGCGTTCAAGAGAATGGGATGGACAGACAACCTGATAACACAATGCTTCCGACCACTGGCTGATGCCGGTGAGAAGGCATTAAAAACCCCAGGTTTAAATGAGCTAGTTGATAACCAGCTGCATAGTACAGGTTATGCAGGACATGCAATGTTAAGTGAAGCCGAATGAAAAAAACATCCCCACTCATCCATGCTCCCCTATGTTTCTCTAAGCACTACAACCTTTCAAGGCAGATGGCCACCCACAGTGAATATGGGTCTGCTTGTGGTTTCTCCCCGGTAAAAGATTTTTTCTCTCCACAGCTTCTTATTGCTTGCTCATTGTGTAAACTCTGGTTTCTCTAAAACATTGTATGGTCTCCACCTTACTATATATATGGTGGTATACAAATACTATTTAATTTAATTGAATATTAGAAGGCGTACAGCAATCCCTGAGGCTTGACTAAGGATATATCCACACTCATATGCTTCAGCTTTAAAGCACCAATTTAAAACTCATTCAGCGCCTGGTTTTTGTGTATGCTCATGCATGCATGTGAGAGACATTGACCTGGTAAGCAGGTGAGGAGAGAAGGAAGCAGGGTTGTCCTGTTCGGAGAAGAGAGGCATGGATCCTCCCATCAGCCACAGCCTGACTGACATGATTAGCACCACCTGAAATGGGGAGAATGGAGGAAGTGATACAAAAGATGAATTAGGAAACAAAAACTATCCTTATTCTTAACTTATGCCACAATAATAAAACTGACAAGTATCCATATATCCATCCACAATCTTCCGCTGACACAGGCATGGGTTGCAGGGGTAGCCTGCCAAGTAGGGTATTGCAGACATCCCTCAGCCCAGACACTCTTTCCAGCTCTTCCTATGGGAATTCTGAGGTGTTCCCAAACCAGATGGGATATGTAATCTCTCTAGCAAGTTCTGGGTCTTTAGGGTCTCATCTTGGTTGGGCGTGCCTGGTAAACCTCCAATGAAAGTCACCCTGAAGGCATCCTGAGGGTGAGCTCAGCCACCTGGGGAAGAAAACTCATCTCAGCTGCTTGAATTTGTGATCTCATTCTTTAAGAGCTCATGTCCATAGGTGAGGGGTTGGATCGGAATCAAGCAGTAAATCTAAAGCTTAGCCTTCAGGCCAACTCCCTTCACCCCAACTGTCTGGAACAACGCTGATGATGCACCAACCTGCCTGTCCATTTCATGTTCCATCTTCCCCAAATTCATGAAGACCCTGAGAAACTTAAAATCCCTCATTTGGGGTAGCAACTATCCACCAACCTAGAGATAGCAATCCTCTGGTTACCAACAGAGAACCATGGCCTGGAGGTGCTGGCTCACTTCCCATACACTTCACACTTGGCTAAAAATGCCCCAGTTGTCACTGGAGGTCACACCCTGATTAAGTCAGGAGAACCACATTGTCCACAAAAAGCAGTGTTACAAATCTAAGTTTCCCAAGCCAAATTGTCTCCTCACCACAGCTGCGCCTTGAAATCCAACACATGAACATCATGAACAATAATTTGTGACAAAGGGGAACCCAAAACCACTGGAAACGTGTTTGACTTCAAGCACATGCTCCAGTCCCCCTGACATTTATTAATCAAAACATTATAATTCACAGAAAGAGTGTCTGTAATTATAATTTATAGCATACTGGAGTTCTCTGTTACAAGTAGGTGGCACTATATCCCTCGTCTAGAAGGATGGAAAACCATGTTTATCAAAGTAAAATACACTTTACTTGGCCAACAGTAATGTGTTGTTTGGTAACTCACTGACCAAAACACGTTAAACTACCAGAATGGTACTTTTTAATGTAAAAGAAAAAAACACTCACATATCCAGAGATTAGACAGGCTCGTTTGACGAAGGGGCTGCAGATGTGGAGGAGGTTGCCTGGTCTGGAGCTATACAGGTGACTGAGGGACAAAGACAAATAGAAGGTTGGTCAGACTGCATTTTTTTAAATAATAAAAAAATGATAAAAGTGAAAGTAATATGTTCAATGTTATATACTGTAAGCAAGAGTAAGATTAGTTGCATGGATGAAAACTTACATGGATGAAAACACTATCTAACATACTCATCCCTAGTACCTTAGTAGTAGTAGTAACAGAACATGTTTCATGAATAATATAGCCTTGGAGTTATTAAAATAAACACACACAATAATGTAATACTCACTCAATGAACTACCCACACTGATGTGGCCACTAATAGTACTCAACATTCCCCCAAGAGGAGTTGAGAACATGGAGAGAATGATAAGCTTGATAATAAGATAATGGCCTAGGACTCCCACGATGTCTGAGCAACATTAGCCTTTATGGACAAGGCAACTTTGAGCTGCCTGTTTCAAGGTATACAACTATACGACCCATTCCTAACAACAGGATGGATATGGACACCCAAAGAAGCAACTCAAAAGGCAAAGGTAGCATTCCAGTATGCTGACATTGTGGGCCACGTTAAACAAGGAAGAGGAGGTTTGGGTCTATGCCACAGTAGAACAGTTCCATCTTGCCTCCCATGCTCAACTCGAGCTGTCCTCAGACACATCCTCACTGGTTGTAAAATGGAATTTCTCCCAAGGTAGGTACTCATTGAGACACAACCAAGTACTGAAATGCTTGGTAGCAGAGATAACTACTACCATTGCCTTCAAGTGCAGTTCAGAGGACACCATTTGTCTGATAACAGTAATAAGGACAGAAAGGTTCTCCTCCACTGACCAAGGGGCTATGTCCATGGCATTTGCACAAAACAGGGTCTAAAAGATACGCACACCACTTCTAAGGCAAAGGTGTGGGAACTATAAAAACAAACTTGACAGGAGAATGTGTGCACCTGTAAACTAACTCTGACCCATCCCTACAAACATTTTGGAGACAGGAAAGTGGAAATACAGACAAGATATGCTGAACATCTACTTTTTCATAAACATTAAACCAGCAGTGCTATTTGTGCTCATGTGAAATACGTGTTCTATAAGAGCTTTAAATTGTAAAAGACAATTCAATTTAAAGCAATTTAAGCATACATACCATAAAATAGCAGAAATGCAGAACCTAGTGATTATCATTTTTAAATAATAATCTACCCCTTGTGCATGTATCACCAAGTGCAACTTTAGCTTGAATATGATGACTCTTCAGCTTATTTAGATTCTCTAGAGAGTTGTGATTCCACAGACTGACCTGACGAAATCAAACCATTCCAGTAAAAACAAATGTACTCACCAGTCTGTTTTAATTAGGTATGTGTTTGATATGACCAACACTGTATAATATTTACTTTTCTGTCAAAGGCCTCTTTTGGGAATAATGGAATTCTGTTCAATTTTATATACTGTTAATGGGAGGATATTGTAGCCTTGCTGGAATTTAATAAGTTTAATAATATTAACGTTATGATGAATTTGCACTTGTGGAAAAGGGGCACAAGCTCCTATCTGAGCAAATTTATATAAGATAGTTAACACTGTGACTCAGATCATGATGTTGTGGATTCTCAATGCTGTGCTATGGACCTTTCAAGCTCGAACTCACACTGTGATTCAGTGGCTGGTAACCTCACGTTAGGTCCTGGTGGTCTGTCCTTGAGACAACATCAGTTGTTCAGCAGGGAGTCTGGCCAGTGATCGCAACTGTGGTGAGGCCTCTTCTGCAGGCTCTCTCCTCTAGTGCTGGGTCTCTGATTGGGACTGATTGTGCACACACAATGTCCAACAGGTTAAAAGTTCAGGGATATAAATCTGTCCATTTAGGAAGCACAAGTGATTGTGAATCAATTTCACCTGCTTTGGTGCTAATGAAAGTGTCAACAGGTGCAATACAGAGGCAAAAGCAAGACAAGCCCCAAAAAAGGAATGGTTTTGGATGTGGTAGACCACAGACGATTGTGCTCTCCTCATCCTTCCTGTCTGATTCTTTTCTATTTTGTGTTCTACTGGTCTCCTTGTCACATCTGGTAGCAGGAGATGGTACCAGCCCAATCAGGTTGCACAAGTAGTCAAGCTCCTCCAAGATTGTTTGCTCCTTTCAAAGTGTGCAGAAGCATCTAGCAAAGCTGTGCACTGTCCACTCTCCACAGTTCAGTCAGGAACACTATGTCATGATTTACCCATGTGTTGCAAATGCGGATACAGTTATGATTGGCGTTGGAGGCTCCATTCCTTGGATGTTCCCTGGATTAGCAGAGCAGCGTGCTAAGATAAAACAGGGAACATGTGCAGAACCCCCTGTTGGGTGTAGCAGGCAATATGCCCTTGTTTAGGATGAATAACGTTTACCATGACCGTGTTTGGACTTGGTGCTAAAAAGGTGGAGGCCGGGGTGGTGGAGGCAAGTTGCCGGCAGCAGGCATGGGTGGCAGTGAGAAGGGATCAGTGAGGATGAGGGCATATTTAAAGGGACCGCTTTGGTGAGAGAATGAGCTGTAATTGGTGGGTGGCTGATGAGCACCTGTAACCTATCAGTAGCTGACAGCTGAGCACATGACTCCATGTCCTGCATGATCTAACGTGAAGCTTCATAACTGTGGAGCCCTGCTTTCTGAGAATTGAGTGGCCCCATACAGGGCAAGAGAGGGGGGCCAGCGGCTAAGCTAAGATTCAAGATGTCATGTACACAGCAGATAAACAAAGTTTACGAGACGAGATGAGACGAGACACGATATTGGGTTCACGAGATCGAGACGAGACTTTAAGAAAACTACAATGACAATATATGACTGGACCAACAGACTTTTATTTAACAGAGTTGCACATAGCATGAGCTTTTAATAAANCATGTGTTAATCAATTATGGAGGCAAGTAGCGAAAAGCTTATAATGTAATGGATGTAGTTATACCATGCATTCACAAATATTATTCTATTGAATGATGACAAAAAACTTATTCTGTGGAATAACAGCAGCAAAAGGAATGGTAGTAATTGTTATGGACGTTTCTGGAAGCTGGTGAAAGGAGAACTCAGGCAGCAGTTGATGTCTTATGCAGAAGATTTTAATGTAGATATGATGCATCAAGGAGACCAGAAGGTAGAACAATATACAAACGCTAACAGAGTAACATGAGCGATTGTCACCCCAAAGTCTGAAGATGTCTCACACAGCATCCCCATATATCTTCCTCTACTTGCGTCATCTATTCTAACAGCACATACATAAGTAGCTATAATTGCTGTGACTCTTTATGTTACATGTGGGTACTTGCATCCCATTGGATAGTTAAGCCTCAGGCATGCATTCCTTACAACATTGTGTCCTTACGTCTTGCCACTGTTGTAATACGCAAAAAAATTCAAGTTGGTGAGAGTTAAAGTTGGTCCCTCTCTGTCTGGGTCATCTGAGTTAGATATGAAAGTCCATAAGACACTACAATGCACTATTGGTTGGTCCTTTATCTATAACCTGACCTTGAGTACTGCTGAGAGAGAGAAGGACGTATCTGTGGACTTAGCCAGGCACTCTTCTCTTAATGGTGTACAGATATAATGTAATATACACTTTATATACATAATACGGTGTATATAGTGGCGTATACAGTAATGTGTGAGGATATACAAAAATTCCTCAACAGTAATGAAAACTATATATTAGGGGTGTGACAATACACTCAGCTCACGAGACAAGACGAGACACGATATTGGGTTCACAAGAACGAGACGAGATTTTAAGAAAACTACAATGACAATATATGACTGGACCAACAGACTTTCATTTAACAGAGTTGCACATGGCATGAGCTTTTAATAAACTTCTTCTTCCACAAATTGAAACTAAAACTAAAATGTATAAAAAATAAAATAAATAAAATAAAATATTTCTTTTTTTCAAGTGCAAACAATATTATGTGCAAAACCAAATCAAAGTTCTACTCTGTCAATACAAAGTAGTTATTAACAACATGCTGCAACTACACAGCCATGTTCTTTTTTAAGAATATTAGCATGTCCACATTCTCTGGCAGCAGTTGGGATCTTTGCGCATTGACTATGTCTCCTGCCGTTGAAAAGATGCGCTCACTTGGAACAGAGGTAGCAGGGACAGAAAGGCACGTTTTTGGCAAGGTGAGACAGCAAAGGATATTGGGAGCAGTGTTCTTGCCCACCACTTCAGAGGGCAGCCACTAAGAGAGAGGCCTCTGTTCTGTAGTTTTCAACTTCCCTCTCAGCCTGTTTTGAACTGTTGGACTCATCTGGCTTAGTAGAGAAAGAGTTCCCTAACAGGTCCTCAAGTGCTGTCTTTTTGGGAGCAGGTTTTGTCACTTGGGGCTCATCATCTCTCACAGCCTCCTCTCTACTGTGTGTGGGACAGTGAGGTCCACCTGCTGCTCCTTCTTCCCTCTCCTCAGCTGTGGTCTTTAAACAGAAGAAACACGGGTGTTAAATTTGATAAGCTGCTAAGAGCCCTCCATACACACACACACACAGTGATGCTCTCATGTTTATAACACACACACTTCATCAATCTCTTAAAAATGTTTAGTTGACAAACATACACAATACAATTTTAAGTGATATATATACCTGTTTTTGCAGCAACTGTTCTGCCTTGTTCTGTACCCTCAGGAAGACGGCCTCACACTGGTCATGGTCTAGCTGAGGTAGAGTCCAGAACCTTGGGTCCAGTACCATGCACTCCAGCAGATAGTTGAAGGCATCCCCACTGTATCTATTTGTAATATTCGTGAGGATTGCAGTCTTTGTGTTGGCCACGGTGGTGGAATCTCCATCATTTGGTGTCATGTTCTGTTCAATCATGCTCTTCAGTGGCACAATGAGAGACACTGTGGGACTCTTCTTCTCACACAACACTGTGGTGGCTGTCTTCAAAGGATGCAGCAGCTTCACAAGGTCTTCCGCATCTCTGACATCGCAGCTGTCAAGTGTATCAATGCTTCGGGCGTTTTGTCTTATCTCTGGGCTGGTGAGAGCTGCTGCTATGGCAGCTTGCTGCTCGAGGTAACGAGCCAGCATATCCAACGTGCTGTTCCATCGCATCGTAACGTCCATGATTAACTTGTGTGATGGCAATTGGAGCTGTTTCTGCTTGGACATTAACACCGCGGTAGCCGTTGAACTCCGATGAAAAAAAGCAGCCACACGTCTCACCGGCCTGAGCAAACGAGCGACGCGGGGAACACCGAGGCCAGCTTGGGTTGCAAGATTTATAGTTTGAGCAAAACACTTGATGTGCAGCTTCAGTCCTGCCTCGTGCACAGCCACGTCCATATTACGTGCATTGTCAGTAACAATTGGGATGCCCTGGTTGGGTTTTTTAAGCTCCCAGTCAGTAACAGCTGTCTGTAAAACCTCAGCTATGTTTGCCTCTGTGTGGGACTCGAAAAATGGGCGAGTCTGTAGTATAACACTTTCCATTTTCCAGTCATTGTTGATTGTGTGGGCTGTAATTGTGATGTAGCTTTGAGTACCTCTCGATGTCCAACCATCTGTTGTTATGGCGATGCTTTCTGCGTCTTTCAGGATCTGTACAACCTTGCTCTTGGACTCTCCATAGACTGTGTCTTATCAGTCACTCTACTGCCATTTATCATTTCTGCCGGGTACCCAAAATGCTGCCAGACAAACGATTTGAAAGTGGCGGGGGCATCTTCAATGGTAATACCCGTATTTTCCGACGTCATTCTGGCTGCTTGCTGCTTCCCCTCCTTCTCCTCCTCTTCTTCTTTTCCTTCTCCTTCTTTAGGTTCTGGCAGGCTAGACGTAGCAAAGGCGCATTATTGCCCCCACAGGTCACAAATAGAAGTTTGGATGGCTCACAAATCTTGCGAGACAGATTTTTAACGCAACGGGAAATATCATTGAGTTTAATCTCGCGAGATCTTGTGGCATTAGATCTCGTCACACCCCTAGAAAATAGTGCAAGTATTTTTACAAAATGCAATAAAAATGTACAAAGATGCAGAGTAGAGGTAGATATGATTTGTTTAAAGTGCAGAGTGTACAGATTATTGTGATGGTAATTGCACATTGATTAATTTCACATGGTTGTGTTCAAGTTGTGTCAGTGGAGTGGGGTGAGGGGGTGGGGGCAGAGTTCAAAGTTTTATTTAATAGTCTGATGGCCTATGGGAGGAAGCTGTTTGCCAGGCGTGTCGTCCTTGCTTTGGCACTCCTGTAGTGTGAATAGGCTGTGTTTGGGGTGGATATTGTCCTTTGAAATGTTTTGTGCCCTCCTGATGGCCCTTGTGGTGTAAATGTCCTGAAGTGGTGGGAGGACTGCCCCGGTGATGTGCTGTGCTGTTTTAATCACACGTTGCAGAGCCCTCCTGTTCCGTACAGTGCAGCTGCCATGCCACACTGTGATGCCGTAGGTAATGGCGCTCTCGACTGCACCTCTGTAGAAGTTGCTGAGGTTGATTGTGTGGGCTGTAATCTAGAAAAATCTAGATGTACATTAAAATGTACATCTAGATTTTTCTTCTTGATTTCTTTCTGATTATGTCGGGTAAATGCTGCTGCAACAAGAGAGACAAACAAGAGCTGCCAAACTAATTTTTAGTTTTAACGTTAGTGACAATGTTGAACACTGACAATAAAGGATTCTGATTCTGAAATATAAGTAAAAACACAAACATTTAAAACAAATCAAGACTCAGTGCTTACTTAATAAGAGGCTTGCAGCAGAGGACCAGGGCATCATAGATTACACACACTCCAAACACTGTGATGCCTGTCTCTTTGATCAGCATGGCGCAGGTGCCCAGCAACAAACTGACAATCAGAGACAACGCCGACATGGTAGAGGGCAGAGAGTCCTCTGAGACACACACACCAACACTTCTGAGGGAAAGAAAAAAGAAAGAAAAAATGGATCATATGGTGTATCATATCTTTAAATCTGAGATCATCACAACACATAGAGACAAACCCCCATTCATGCTCACATTCACACGTAATTTGCACTCTAATTAACCTGCATGTCGTTGGACTGTGGCAGGAAGCCAAGGTGTAAGAAGTAAGAAGTGAGACATTTCCCAACCTGTCCAAGGACAGACCTACAGAATGCCAGATGTCTCAAGGTGAAGACAAGCATTTACCTTAGCAAGCGTTAAGGATTAGATAATGTGACCTCACAAGAAGGTAAAAATACATGATTTTCCCTTTCCCTTGTGCTCATTCCCACATGCCATGTATTTTGAATGTGAAAGAGTTCATCTGCAGAAATTGAATTAAATCACAAAAAAAAACAGTTCTGATTTTATTCTTCCTTCAACTGCGATTGTCATCCGCAAACTTGGCATTGTTGGCAGGGTCAGTTGTTTGGGAGAACATCTGGAACTCAATGCTGAAAGCAAAGCTTGAGTCTGGGACTCTAACCTCAACCTCCCCATCAAATAGGGTAGGCCTGAAGCCTGAGGGCCAGAGCTGCTCACCGCTGAGATCATCACAACACACTGAGACAAACCCCCATTCATGCTCACATTCACACCTAACGTAATTTGTTTCTCTAATTAACATGCATGCCTTTGGACTGTGGAAGCTGAGGTACCAAGAGCAATAGGGATAGGGACAACAACTCCTGAAATATGCAAACTATTAAAATCTTTCTTAATTTGACAAACTCTGATTTATTTCATATACTTTACAATAACCAAGGAAGTACTTCTGAACATGCATAACCACACACTGTAGGACGTTGATGAATGTTGTCAACCAGCACACAACCTTGTATGATCATCTTTTGTAGCAGCCAAATACCTGCGAATTATTTTGTCTGCATGGTAAACATATCTTCATCAGTTTCTCTGGCAGACTGATGTCTAATATCCTGTGTGTGTGAGTGTGTGTGTGTGTGTGTGTGTGTGTGTGTGTGTGTTACAGATTCATCTTACCTAACATAGGAAAGAAAAGTGAGCAAAAACAGCAGACAGGCCAAAACATCGGCCCTGCCCACGACACCAGACACCTGTAACACAAAAACATTTCAGAGATTAGTCACATGTGGGACAGCTCTGGTGAGAAGATACAGCTGCATGTCCTTGTGGTGCCCATTATTTTTGCTATACTTTAGTGAGATGCACAACTTAAGCTGCTGCTGTAATAAATTACATGTACTCTGCTTAATTTTATTCTTCCTTCAACGAAAATTGCCATCTCCAAACTAGGCATAGTTGGCAGGGTCACTTGTCTGGGAGAACATCTGGAACTCAACGCTGAAAGCAAAGATTGAGTCTGGGAATCTAACCTCAACCTCCCCATCAAACAGGGTAGGTCTGAAACCTGAGGGCCAGAGCTGCCTACCGCTGTTATCCATTGTACCAGGTGGCTGACGTTTTTCTGGTGAGTGTAATTAAGGAATTCAAGGAAAAGATTCAGGCTACGAATAAGGTGTGTTGTTTTAAATACTCCGTTAGATTCTTCAAAGCTTGGTGTAAGATTCTTGCACTGTTTATTTTGAAAATGGTGGCTGACAGATGAGAGTCACGAGAGCAGGTAGACGTTTGATTACAAGAAAAGTAATCAAAGGCTGATCACCGTAAAAATATCTTAGGAAAAGATAGTCACTTGACTACAGGAGCATTGTCTTGGGTTGATCACTGTTTAGAACATACCTAAATAAATGATACAAACTAAAATAAATAAAGAGTTTGTGTTCTGGAGTAATATTATTATGAGAAGTGGAGTGCAACCTTTTATTGGCTAAATAGAATAGTACTTTTATTATAACAAAACAAAGAGGAAAAACTACCACAAAAAAAGGTTAATTGTGTAGAATTTAGTGACATCTAGAAGTGAAGTTGATTGTTACAGCTGAATACTCCTCATCTCACCTTCCCCTTCCAAACATGACAGAGAACCTGTGGTGAACTTCAGTTGTCATGAAAACTGAAAATTGCTATAGTTTTTCCAGTTTGGACGACAGTAAAAAAACATGGCAGCCTCCACAAAGAGGACCTTCCTCCATGTAAATATGTAAGTAACCTTTAAATATAAAGGGGCCCATTCTATGGTAAAGAAAACAACCATTGATACAATTTAGATGATTACACAGCAGTGAAAACTTCACTAGGATTATTTTATATTCAATTACTGCAGTATATCCATTTCACATCTTACACACTGGACCTTTAACAGGGGTAAAAAATGTATAAACCTCAGAGAGAGAGCCACATGTGAGGGATTCCTCTCCCAGGATGTACAGAGGTAAAAAATATGCCGTGTTTAAAAATATTTTGATTTGAATAAACAGTTTTTAACATAATGGAAAGGTGTGGCGATGTTTACAGTATTTGTACATAAGGAAATGTCAGATAGAGATTGAGGAAGCAGCAATGACAATTTAAATGGAGTAGTTATTGCCAGTAATGGTAGAATATGTGAGTAGGTATATTGTATATCAAGCAATCAAGTAATCATAGTCCATAATCAGCTGCCACCACGATCAGGTTTCACCATCACAATCGCTGATTCGCGATCCACCGCCATGATCTATGGTCCAAGATCACAATCTACAATCCACAATGTGACCTGGATCTGCAACCGATAAAGCACAAGGACTCCGGGGTACAAGTCAGTAATTCATGTATTGATGAAACATCAATGTGATGAAGAGGGAGAAGAGGGAAGAGAAACTCCAAGTGTCACATGTCCCCGTCAATCAAGACGTATAGCAGCATAACTCTCTGAGGGTGTCTGCCTCCCGAACTGAAACTGGGAGATGATTCCACAGGAGAGGAGCTTGATCGCTGAAAGCTCTGGCTCCTTATCTACCTTTAGAGACTTAAGGGACAACAAGTACGCCTGAATTCTGGGAGCACAGTGCTCTAGTGGGGTTATATGGTACTGTGAGTGCTTTGAGGTATGGACTTTGTAGGTGAGAGGGGGAGAATATTAATTTATATTCTAAATTTGATAGGAAGCCAGTGTTGTGATGCTAATATGGAGAAATTTGATCTCTTTACTGGTTCCTGTCAGGACACGCGCTGCAGCATTTTGGACAAGCTGCAGAGTCTTTAACAACTCATGTGAAATGCTACTGAACCATTCAAACCCATATTTAAAATCCTGATAGGACAAGCAAGAGCTATCTTCTCTCATTGAACAAGGAAAGCTACTACACATCCAACAACCAACAATCCAACAACGTCTGCCCTTGAAGAAGCAGACAGTCACACATTAATGTAAAGTTACCTCTGTATCACCAGCATTAGTGAATGGCTGCTGCTTGCTCAGAGGATGTTACATACCATTGCGTGGTCACTGAAGCCCGAAGCACACTCCAGAGGCAACTCCTGGTGCTCTCTCCATGTTAACGATGTTAACACAGGTCTTTGCCCTTTCATTCTTTTGTTATCTTTTTTCAGTTAGCTGTAGTCTGTGGCGCTTCAGCATTTGGTGGGGTGGTTCACTGGAAACAGTAGTTGTTACGCTCTGGAACAGTAATGGCAGTGTTCATTACCTTATGCCACTTTCTCAAGTCATCCTCCAATATTAGAAGGCAGAGGATAATTACATGATCTTATTTGAGATGTAAACGGTGATGTTTCCAAAGGTTTTATTAACCCTAAGGACTTTGTGACCCAAATTAATATAGCCCACATTAAAAGGAGTAATAAAAGAAACAAATGTGAAATAAATAAATATAAATATGGGTTAAAATGTACAATAGATAATTAAAATTTGAAATTTCCCCAGTGTGGGATGAATAAAGACGATCTTATCTTATCTTAAAATAGATCAGCAGGTCCCAAACTTTTTTGGCCCCGCACCCCATTCTATGTCTCAACAAGGTTGACGCACCCCCCCAAAAAGAAAAAAAAAACGCAACAAGCTAATTTATAACCATATGAAAGGCAGCATGTTTAATCATGCTCAAATGCACAAAACTTACATACAACAAAATAATCAAGATCACAACAATGCGCTCTCGCATTTGTATTAAACTAAAACACTATAACACAGTTTCATTATAATGCAACAAAGTTATGCACAAGCTTCCTCTTAAGAGCAAAAAGGATGGATGACAGGCTCAGGCTCAGAGGCAGAAAGCGGGGAAAATGTTATAATATTTTCAGCCGCGGCAAGTTTGCTGCAAGTTTAAATGACCGTGGAGCTAACACAACCCTGTCATCATAACACAGCGATTATGGAAATAAAATTAGAACGCCAGTAATTTGAATTAAATTGCAATAAAGTTACACACGACCTCCAACATAAATAACAAAGAGCATAGGCTCAGGAACAGATAAAAAAAAGGGGGGATCCATCTGAGGATTTTCAAGTGCAGTGCAGGTGGCTCAGCCTGCAGCAAGAGAGAGAAAGAAGGAGAGAGGGAGGGAGAAACAGGGAGGGGGGATGTGTGAGTATTCCCAGTATATTTGTAGCAATAATATCAATACAATTTGGCCAAATATTTACCCATATTAATGCAACAGGTGGGCCTGCATCTTGGCACAAAGCTCTCCAATGTTTGGCACAATTGAAGACAGTTTAAGCCTCAAATCTTTCTCAACAGCATCCAGTCTTTGCTGATGTTTAGTCTTCACTGCTGTCAGAGCAGAGAAACCAGCCTCGCATAGATAAGTTGTAGCGAAGGGCATCAAAACTCTCAAGGCCTGCTTTGCCAGGACTGTGTATTCATCGGGGATGAATAAAGTAATCTGTCTATCTATCTATCTATCTATCTATCTATCTATCTATCTATCTATCTATTATTGACTCAGTCCAAAAATCCACAGGTGGCTTTTGTTTGAAATGCAACTGCAGTGCTCCATCAGATTACAGCTTGATCAGCTGTTCCTGCTGTGGGACCGGGAGAGAAACTTCAAATGGGTTGCGAATCCACGCTTGAGATGTGTCCATAGGTGGGAAGTATTTCCGTAACTGCTTGGCGAGTTGGTTGAGGTGTTCAATTATGAGACTTTAACATGCTCACCCAGGTCCACGTCATTTTCCCCCAAGAACTGGTGAAGCGTAGGGAAACACAGGAGTGTGTTACCACTCACACAGCTCGCCCAGAACCGTAGCTACTTCATCATAGCTTCAATCTTGTCTTGTGTGTTGAACACGGTAACACTGACTCCCTGCAGACTTAGATTAAGTTCATTCAGAGCAGAAAAGATGTCCGCCAGATAGGCGAGCCTCTTCAGAAAGTCTCCGTCATGCAGACTGGAAGCCAAATGAAACAGATTGTCCTCAAAAAACTGCAAAAGCTTGTGTCGCAGTTCAAAAAGCCTTGTTAACACTCTCGCCAATCATACATCCCACCATCTCTTTGGCAGCCGGCAAGCACACATCTTCGGCAATTGTGTGAGGCAACCCCTTTCTCACTATTCTGCAACTTACAAGATATGAAGCCCGTAATGCGTCTTTTATAGACCCAACATATGAATGAAACTGCAGTTGTTTTTCCACCAATTTTGATTTAAAAAAATTTAAGGGGCTTTTGACTTACATAAGCATGCTTCATGTGCAGGTGACGACACTGCAGCTTTGGGCAGTCTGTATCACCAATCCAAGTGAAGCCCAGACCCAGATAATTTTCGTCATATTTCCTTCTTTTTTCCCCCGTCTGGTGTTCACCCTCTTCACCTCTTTTGCCTTGTTGCCATCTCCTTCCCTCCTTTTCGGTTTCCTCCGGCTCATCATTTTCTGACTCCAGCTCTTTTTCTTCTCTTGGATCCGTTGCAATTCTCTCCTCTGTTGCCTCCGATTCCTCACTCTCTCTTGGTTCCTCTCCTCCTTCGTCACTAACTTTGACTTGAGTTGTCCCACCTGACAGTTTCCCTGATTTCAGCCAGTTGAGCATATTTGGAAGATTGAATGACGCAAGAGGCCACAAGCTAGATGCGCACATACAGAAGAAGAGAACTTCTTCTACGCAATCTTAAGATGAAATGCATTTTGAATAGCCTGCATTTATTTATTTCTTTAAATTTCATTTTTTGATTTTAAATTTTACAAAGGAAATGTTTATTTACACGTCTTTATTGTGTGGAAAAGTCCCACTTAAAAAACCATGCAATTGTGTAATTACCAGACAGCCATTACATTTTTCATCTTGCGCACCCCCTAGAGGCAGCTCGGGCACCCCCCACACTTTGGGAATCCCTGAAATAGATAAAGTCCATTTAAAATCATAAATAGGTGAAATTGGTTAAAATCCATACACTAATTTAAAGTCAGTTATAAACCAAGGTCATAA